CCTGTGGGAGCTTCTCAGCACTTTAACATATTTTGAGTTGTTTCGTAAAAACGTTGGCATTCCGTTTCTAATCTTTTTAGGTTAAATATGGAAGAGCTAATGATTCCATTTTTCTCCATTGTCTTGCCCAGAAACCAACAGAATGTATGTGGGGTGTGTGTACAGGACACCTTTTTTTTTTTTTTTTTTGAGATTTTATCCATTTGACAGAGAGGGAACACCAGCAGTGGGAGAGGGAGAAGCAGGCTTCCCACTGAGCGGGGAGCCCGATGTGGGGCTCGATCCCAGGACCCTGGGAACATGACCTGAGCCAAAGGCAGATGCCCAATGACTGAGCCACCCGGGCACCCCAGGACACCCTTTTTTTCCCCCCACCTGTGTATTTTCCCATGTCACTTATGAATTGATATGTCAATTATTACTTTATTGTCTGTCTTCTACAATAGGAATGTTGGATCTTTTATGCCTGGGACATTTTCTGTATATGTAACTGTTCTCATTAGCATCTGCCACAGACGTAATATTTACTGAAAGGAAAAAAGGAGTAAGTCAGCAGTAAGAATTGAAACGGACAAGAGCTTCAAACTTCATCATCCAGTGAGGCAATCTCAGTGGTATTAATCAAAACAAAAATTTCTTTTTTCTTCCTTTATATGCCCAGCAGCAGTCTCAACCAGTGCTGTCCAATAAAAGTATGTGTAGACCATGTATATAATTATTTTCAGTATCTACAATGAACAAAAATGAAAAAGTTAAGATTATTTTGAAGAATATTTTACTTCTTTATATAATAGTTACTAAAGCATGCATTCAGTACCAAAAATTGAGATATTTTGCATTATTTTCTTCAAAGTTAAATATTTATTGGATAAGGGCGCCTGGGTGGCTCAGTCATTAAGCGTGCCTTCAGCTCAGGTCATGATCCCAGGGTCCTGTGATTGAGCCCCGCATCAGGCTCCCTGCTTGGCAGGAAGCCTGCTTCTCCCTCTCCAACTCCCCCTGCTTGTGTTCCCTCTCTTGCTGTGTCTCTCTCTGTCAGATAAATAAATAAAATCTTTAAAAAAATTTATTGGACCCTAAATTTTTATCAGATATGCTTGATTTGTGTTTAGATCATTACAGTTTAAAGAGTAGATTCATACTTAAAATCTTTAAAAATAAAAAAAGATGGGGGAAGGGTGCTTGGCTGGCTCAGTGGATAGAGCGTGTGATTCTTGATCTCAGGGTTTTGAGTTTGAGCCCCATGTTGGGTGTAGAGATTACTTAAAATCGTTAAAAAAAAGTAGATTCAGATACACAAATTTTTCCACACACATATATGTGAGCTAAAAACTCCTAGTGAGACATCTGATACATAATGGTCCTCAGTTAATGGCAGTTGATATTAATAATCCTTTGTACACCATGTTTTAGCAGCTCTCATGCATGTCATCTGCACAGAAAAAGTAATTGATCCTGTTGAACCATTACTAATCAGTATTTTTTATTAATTAATATGAACCCAACTCCAAATAACCTGATCTCCAGAGGGATGGAGATGGCCCTATCCACTTATATTCCGAAGCTGCTCTGAAATGATCTTGGTTTACATAGTGCATCATTCAAGCAGATTTCACCCTTAGCTTTGCAGGATGATGGCCTGGGGTATGTCCCATGATAAGTCCTTATTAATGCCCTTTTTCAGAGATTCTGCCTTAGGTTCTGCCTGCACAATATAGAGTCCTGAGGTCAGAGCCTGAGCAGTGCTTCTGGTTCATCTAAGAAGAGCTGGAGTGGGCCAGAAAATGCTCTTCTGTATGTCAGGTTCCTGTTATGTGTACATGGGGTAGAGTTGCTGCATAATCTCATTAATTTTATTGCCTTCACAAAGGAAGAGTCGCATTACTCAAGACCTAAGTGTATGTACCTGTGAAATGAAACCATGACTCTCCAGATCACATCTCTGTATAGGTTTCTCTGATGGTGTAGTAAAGTCTGCTTCTCTTTGGTGAAGTCCACAGGCACATCGTTGAAGATCACTAAATTCTAAACTCACATATGTGCTGGCTTTAATTAAAGTAACATTTCCATCAATCTTCACTGGGGAATGAAGACAGGAGACCCAGTGGCAATAGAGGGTTTCAAAGTCTCTCTTTTATTAATTTTCCCCAAGGCACAGTGTTCCTTGCATGAACCAGGCTAATGGGCCATCTTGGACAAATTCTACCCCCCCCCTTTATTTTTTAAGATTTTATTTGAGAGAGAGAGAGAGCACGTGCACGTGTGTGAGAGCACTAGCAAGGGGAGGGGCAGGGGGAGAAGCAGACTCCCCGCTGAGCAGGGAGCCTGATGCAGGTCTTGATCCCAGGACTATGGGATCATGACCCAAGCTAAAGGTAAATGCCCAACTGACTGAGCCACCCAGGTGCCCCTGAACAAATCCTCCTTGAGGACCATTATGTGACTTCAGCTCTTCTTGCACACAGCAACCCCCAAATTATTTCCCCTTTGTTTAACCACACCCTTCAGTATACCTTCAGGGCATAATGTCCTTGACCTGCCCTGGAGATATGACTATGGCACACATCCATTGTGAAACATTCTCCTCTTGTGTGGTACCCCAGCATGTATTCCCAGCCTCTAGGGCTATAATAACATATCTTAAGGGTCATGGGGTTGTGGAGACCTTTTTGTCTTGTGGCTGCCCATGGGACACTTCTGTCTGTGAGTCCTCTTAATAAACCATTTCTCATCAAAGTACACTTGTCTGCCTCCTTTGGTCTTACATCTCCTTTGGCCTTTGGAGTTTGTTTGCATATACCTTTCAGAAAACAGTCCTAAATACTCTTCTCTCTGTTGGGAATTCACTCATGGTTGATATACTTCAGTCCTGGCTTTAATGAAACCTCTAAGGCATAAACTTAATACAAGTCTAAAAGCTCTTGTCCAATTTTCTTGCAGCAAACTCCTGAGAAAAGACACCTGTAAGCACTGATGAATGTATAAACTGTTTGAGGAATGCACACTTTCAGCCTCATCATGTCAAAGCACCAAAATAACATGCAGTCACCATTATGAAATGCAAATACTGAGATTATTTGGTATTCTCTCATCATTCTGATAGACTCCACTTTGTGAGAAAATTCAACAGGGCTCAGAGTGGCTCTGTTCCTTTAGGAAGCTGTGGAAACAGGTCTACCTAGAAGGAAATGTATGTATCTGGTGGATGTATTATGTCATTTTTGTTGAAGGACAAACTTTTTTCTTACCTGAGAAGAACCTGTTAAACACTCAGTCTTCATCTTTTCTGCCGCTGTTCTTGTTTCAAGAAAGAAGAACATGTCCTTAGAAGGAAAACCTAGTAGAAAAGAAAGACTGAACACCAGAGATGACTGTACTTGCCACATTCACCTGACTGGAATTCATTCCATTCTAGCTTGAAATTCCTGAATATTTCTCTGCATTCAAGTAAATCCACACAAACAGACACTACTGCCATACAGTGCCACAGTGGTCCTCTCTCACCTGTAGCCAGGGAAGGGCACTGTGAGCCATGCTGCCCTTGAAGAAGAGATTCACGGTGTTTAATTTCATAGAGCCATTTTTTTCACCAACTCCTTAATATCATTACTAAATTGTTGACATAGCCAAACTCTTCAAATCTATTGTACTGTTTTTTGGCATGTTTAATTTTGTAACAAATTCAAATGAACCTCACTATTTTTAACTCCTTTAACCTACATTTATTTCTACAATTTCTTATATTTGTTATTCTCTCTTACTTTCAAACAGGAAATACAGCATAAAACCAAACATTCAGTAATTCGGCAGGATATTTAAGGGAGAAAAAACATCCAATAGGATAGGAACAGTAAAATCACTAAGTTTATAAAGCAATATTTTTTATTTTCCATACTTGGAAAAGATTGAGATTTTCCTTAGATGGAACATTAGCCCAAGTGATAGATATTTGAGATAAGAGACATTTTCCAAAGACAAAACAATGTTTCTTGTGAGATAGTCTCAGTGTGATGAATCTGGGGATATACTAAACCTACCTTGAAACTTGTCACTTCACAATTCCCACAAGTATTCATTCCCACATATATAAATGGATATTGAATTTTAAAACAATTCCATGAAACAAAAGGACTCCCTTTAGGATTATAGGAGGTGGCCCCCCATCATGCTGGCAGAAGGAGTCCATCAACCAGCTGGAAAGAAATGTACAGGGCAGGAAGTGTATGAATGCACTGGAAATGATAATCCTAATCAGCATGGTAATGCTATTTCTATTTTGAGATGGGTGGGGTCAATTAATGAGTCTCAGAAATCTTTGAAGCATCATTCATCCATTCCCTGACAGGCAAGAAGCCATGTTGAATGGGAACTCTCTGTGAGCAACATGGAAAAGACTTTGGTGAGTGCTCATGCCTTTAGACACACAGGAGAACTCAAAATGGAGGGAACACTTACGAGGATAAGGACTATGGAAAAAGCTTCCTTTCTCTGCAGTAGGAAACCTGTAATGGAGACAGACTTTCTGGGTTTAATCAATACAGAAAAACCCATCTACCTGACTCCAAATATTCTGTACTGGAAAACCAGCACCCAAGAAAAAGCCTTCACATGCGGTGACAGTGGGAAGACCTTCCATGATCAATCTTACTTCAAAGCACAAATGACAACTCATGATGGAGAAGAAAGTCTATGAAAGCAAGGTAGGTGAGACACCTGTTCTTCAGGAGTGTGCGTGAAGAAACTTGCACTGCTAACAGATTTATGAATGTGAGGAATGTGGTGAAAATATTCCATGTGTGCAAACTGTTACATATACATGTGAATTGACATGAGAGAAACCCTATAAATGTAAGGAAGTGGGAAAGCCTTTATTACATCTTCCAATTTTAAGAGACATACAAAATCTGATACTGGAGAGAGTACTTTTTATGTAAGGAATGTGGAAAGTTTTAAAAAATTCCTCATGTCTTAATCACATTTGAATTCACGCTGGAATAAAGTATTACCAATGTAAGGAATGTGTGCAGTATAGGAAAGCCTATACTGCATTCTCAAAACTTACTGAACATACACAAGCTCACACTGGAGAGAAGCCTTTTAAATGTAACAAACATGGGAAAGCCTTCACTACTTCCTCACGTTTTATGAATCCTCTTAGAACTCATGATGGAGAGAAACACTATGAGTGTAAGAAATGCAGGAAAGGTTTTATTGATGTCTCAAAAGTAGCAAGACCTTTAAGGATTCATACTGGAGAAAACCCTGATAAATGTAAGGAATGAGGGAAAACCTTCATTAATTCTGTTTCTCTTAGTAAACATAAAATACTGCACTCTGGAGAAGTAACTTGAATGTAAGGAACGCAGAAAATCCTTCCAAAATTATTCATGTTTTAATCCATTTGAATTCAAACTGGATTAAAACCCTAGGGATATAAAGAATGTGGGAGGGCCTAAGTGCATCCTCAAGCTTTACTGAACATATAAAATCACACGCAGGAAAGAAGCCTTTTAAAGATTATTTATTTTAGGGTGAGGGAGGGACAGAGCGAGAGGAAGAGGGAAAATATCCCAAGCAGATTCCATGCTGAGCATGGAGCCCAACACAGGACTTGATCTCAAGACCTATGAGCTCACGACCTGAGCTGAAACCAAGAGTCAGGCTCTCATCCAACTGAGCCACCTGGGCGCCCTGAGAAGCCTTTAAAATATAACAAATGTGGGAGACCTTTGCTACTTAAATCATACCTTAGAATCATGCTGGAGAAAAGTGTAATGTGTGGCGGAAGGCATTTGCCTGTTATTCATGCTTTATCACTTACAGACATGCTCACACTAGAGAGAAGCCTTTCAATATAAGGAATACATAAAAGCCTTTACTTTTTCCTCAAGACTAACTTAAACATGTTAAGAATTCATACAGGAGGGAAACCCTATAGATGACACATTTCTCAGTGATGTGCCTTTCAAAACAAATACATGCAAAGAAACCCAGAATGTAAACACTTTGAGAAGGTCTTCCAATTATTCCAATTAATATTAGATAAATGAAAATTCACCCTTATAAATGTTAAAACTGTGGTACAACCTGCAGTTCTCCCCAGTTCCTTTAACTGTCATGAAAGCACTCACCCTGGAGAGAAGTCCCATCAATGTAAGGAATGTGCTAAAGGCCTCAATACTCCCCACTGACTTTGAAGATATGAAAGAAACAAACTGGAGGAATGGTCTCCATGTGTAAAGACTGTGGTAAAGACATCAATCTCCTGAAAACCCAGTATGCTAGCTCTCACAGTGAAGCCGTGCTATAAGAAACATCTAGAGCACTTTACTGTTTCCTCTGAAATATATTCCTTAAATGTGGTAGATCCTGCAGTGCAGAGAATCTTCTCTATGATATGTGGGAAAACTTCATCTCCTGAATTCCTCAATGTTCACTTGTGATCTCATTGTGCAGTATGCTCCATTGGTGTAAGATATTTGTTATTTTACATTAGATAATTCCTTATCCTTAAACACAAAGTGGCTCACACTCAAGAGAAACTCTATGGAATGCTGGAAATTATACTGAGTCAGAATCTTATGTTCTGCTGGGGCGCCTGGTTGGTTCAGTTGTTTGGGCATCCGACTCTTGGTTTCAGTTCAGGTTGTGATCTCATGGGTCTTGGGATTGAGCCCTGCTTCGGGCTCTGCACTCAGGAGGGAGTCTCCTTGGGGATTCTCTCCCTCTACCTCCCCCCAACCCCAACTCGTGCTCACTTGTGCTCTCTCTCTCAAATAAATCTTTTTTAAAAACAAGACTCTTATGTCTGTTGACAGGCATTAGCCTTGTGGGTGGTTGTAAGATCTGTTTTAAACATTCATCATTGTGTCCCAACCTTTTCTGGGGGCATGATGTATCTTTGCCCTGATTGGCCTGGCCAGGCTAGTTGCTGCACCTTCCACCTTGCAACCTGCCCAAAAGTGGGCCTACACGAGTCACACTTTATTGTCTTCTAACCACCTGGATTCTCTTACTGGATTGGCATGGTCTTACATTTCAAGCATGGGGCCTGCATCACTGTTAAAACTGCGCATTGAGTCCATCTACACTGAATCACACTGGCCAGGGTAGGGGATGTAAAACGTGTCTTGTCAGTTTTGGAAAGAAGACCTTGTGTCCCTTTCTCACCCGATCCTATCTCGAAATCTCGGGATGAAGCATGGGATGACTGGAGAAAAGGTGAAATTACAGCTAGTAACGTGAGGCAGCATGAGCACATGCCCTATGAACACTACCCTACTAACTGGGGAGGCCCTTCTACTCAAGTTGTGCAGCAAGAGGGTAAGAATAATGAATGTGCTCTTCCACCCCTACATCCAACACCACAGCCTGGCAAAACAACCCTACCATCTTTGTAACTCAAGCAACAGGTGTCACGGTTGTTTGTCATTCCATCCGTGTGTTGTGAAAACAGCCTCAGTGATACAAATTCATATAGCTGATGCCCAAGCAGATTTCGGTTGGATTATGTCATGTGTGGCCATCCGGGTGCAGCTGCTTGATGACACTCTGAGGCTTAATGAAACCATTGTAATGATAATCCAAAGCAAGCTTCCCACATGTCTTACAGCTTCAGAAGATACCTGTGCACCTTTTTCTCTTGCTCTCATTCACTTTTTTACCTGGGAAGAATGTAAATCCCTGATCACTCTCCCTGGGCCGTTTGTTAGATGGGCCTTTGCAGTGTGGAAACTTGAGAAATGATAAAGAGCAGGCTCACTACTTCAAATACACTAGGTTCTACAAGCTCAGCATTCTCCTTCAGCACCTGGGCCCTTTGGAAACCCTGAGAGATAGGGGGACAAAGGGAGCCAATTTTCACATGCTGATGCTTATGCTGCTGGCCATACCATCAGTCAGTTATGGCCTTTGTCTCTGATGTGTCTCAGCTCCTCTGCCAAAATCCATGATAGTGACAGGCTAATTTAACACCTTGGAAGGGAAAAATCAAATCACACGTTCAAGAATTTTGGTAATGGGAATGACATTTTAATAGTGTCATGATTTTCTGGGAGAGGGAAACAATGGTGGCCAGGCTGAGTATCTGCAATGCAGTAATGAAATTTCTTCTACAAGAGGTTTCCTCATGAGCTGAGCAAGAGGGGAATAAAGGCCCTACACTTCCCACTTCATGAAGTTGGTTAAGTACTATAGTTATATCAGCTTGTTTTTCCTTAATTTGTTAATCTCCCTGTACATACTGTATGTGGAGCTTATCTATTTGAAATATTTTCAAATCCTTTTCTTTCATTTGGAACATTAGTCCATAATATAACGTAATTACTAATAAATATGGGTTGTCTAGCATCTCATTTTTTTCAGTATTTATCTCCCCCCTAATTCATAAACTAGTATATTGCCCTTATTCCATCAACCTCGTATATAGGCCTTTATTTCCCCTTATTTCTTTTTATGTTGGACACAATGGTAAACTCTAATCATTGATTCTTTGCTTTCAATGTAATGATATTTTGTAAATCTTTCATATTTTTGTTCACATTTTGTGAAAAAGCACTGACACTGGGCATTCTTCCTTTATTCAAGAATGGTTCTAAAATTACTCCATTAACCATGTTTACTGTGATTTTGAGTGGACTGTCTTTGTACAGTTAATAAATCTTTTAAAACAATGATTTTTTTTTTTTTTTAGATTTTGTTTATCTATTTATTTGACACAGAGATCACAAGGAGGCAGAATGGCAGGCAGAGAGGAGAAGCAGACTCCCCGCTGAGCAGGGAGCCCAGTGTAGGACTCGATGCCAGGATCCTGGGATAATGACCTGAGCCCAAGTCAGACACTTAACTGACTGAGCCACCCAGGAGCCCCTAAAACGCTGATTTAAAACATATTTCATCAAGACTTGTTCATGGGCATCATTAAAAGTTTTATATGCATCTACTGTATTGATATCTATTTTGCTACATTAGTGTTTCATGTTTTACTGCACAAATCCTTTATGTAGAAGTGTTTTTAAAAATTGTTATCTGGAGGGGCACCTGGGTGGCGCAGTTGGCCATCCGATTCTTGGTCTCAACTCAGGTCCTGATCTTAGGGTCGTGGGATTGAGCTCTGAGTTGGACTCTGCATTCAGCAGAGAGTCTGCTTGGGACTCTCCCTCTGCTCCTCCACCCCATGTGTGCTCTATCTCAAATAAATTTAAAAAAATAAAAATTGTACCTGGATTTCCTAACTTGCTTTAAAAAGTCCTTTCAAACTCTCAAATATAGACTTTATAGTTTGCTTCTTAAATATAATCCATCTAAAAGCACTGAGCTCTTTATCCTCATAGGATATATTTTAACATGTGGGGTGGGGTAGTGGATCCAATCCCTTCTTTTACCCAGAAAAGATGGCCAATTGATTCAGTACCAATTATAAATTATTTTTTACCTAGATACGAAATTCTAACTTTATTAATAAATCCCTGTATGTCTCTAGATGCTTCTGCACTAGTATTGCATTTATTTATGCTCATCAGTTTTGATTATAGTAGTGTTATTAAAGTCATATTTAGTGGGAAATATGTGAAGGTTGGTAATGTTTGTTGCGTCTACCACTGTAGGTGCTCAGCTTGAGGTACTTGCATTGGTGATATCATATTTACCTAATTCTTGTGATCATTGCCTTTATATCTACACATTTGAGTAACCACTCTTCCAGTCTTTACAGTGTCACATCAGTACAGAAAAGTCCTTCATCTGTCAGCTCAACTTAGGCTACTTAATGGCTTGCTGGCCGTGTCTGCAGGCAACTGGACTTTCATACGTGTCTCTGTAACTGAAGGAAGAAACATCTCTTTCAGACTGTATAGACTGTTTTCATGGATAAAAACGGTCTCATGTCAGGTCCCTGGACTGATGGGTTTTGCCTCTAGAGTCACAGTCAAGTGGGATTGAGGCCAGACCTGGCTGCTGCCAGGTTTGCATTGCAATCTATGGTACACAATCCTGTTACCAGGGAAATTGACCTTGTCTTGACCCTGGTCAGAAAGGATATCACTCCAGGACCCTGGTCAGTAGGGCTGAGACTAGGATAAGGGATCAATTCAGGGTCCAAAGACAGCAGTAATATTTCTGGTTTTGTGGATAGGTAGGGCTCCTAACATGTCACTTGGCAGGCATAAATGGCCCCAGACCACAACTGAGAGGGACTGGAGCCAAGTCACAAGGCTCACTTAGGGTCCACATCCATGACCCAAGTTCTGTAGGCCTGCCTCAGGGCACCAATGGGCGAGTCTTCCCCTGGGTGGACAGGATTCCTCCTACTTCATGGCTCAGTGTCTGCACCTGGGTTGTGGGCTGCTTCAAGATTGGCAGGGAGACCAAAGTGAGCAGGCCCACCTCCAGGAACCAGATGGACACAAGTCCTTCTGGATTCCTTTGTGGTCTAGACTGTTGAGGGCTAGTATTAAAATATTTCTCTAAAAACTCCTAGCAATCGTCAATTACATTATGGGATTAAAGATATTATCAGAAATCTCACAATCTCTTTCCATTATTTTGTCACTTTTTTGTGTATAAATACATGTAACAAAATTCACCATTTTAAACACTTAGGTGTATAATTCTATTCATTTGGCATCAAGTGCATTGGTTTTTGTGCAACCAGTACCACTATCCACTTCCAGATGTTTTCATATTCCCAAATGGATACTCTACCCATGAAACATTCATTTTTCATTCTAATTTCCCTCCACCAGCTGCCAGTCATGCATTGAGAAAAGTAGTTTCCACCTGGGTCGTGTTGGCAGTAACGGAAAATAAAGGTGCAATTAAACAAAGATAATAAAGGTAAAGAGGGAATGAAAGAAAGAGGACAGAAGGCAAAGAAGGAGGCAATATGTCAGACTTACCTATGCAATATACCACACAAAAACACCTAAGCAAACTACCACTCAAATCTAGATTCCTACACTGGAAGTTCAAAATCATGTCAGTGTGTCCTGGGTAGAATCCATTGCAATCACAAACTTTTTGTGAAAAATGGGGTAAATGAGAAAATATCTCCAAGAAATGTCATAATTCCATAAAATTATACGTGTAAAACAGCACGAACAGTTTTGATACGGCAAGCGCTTCAATTACAACTGAAATACCCTTTTCATTCCACTTATGGAAAAAACACACCCAAGTAAATGAATGTGAACATCAACATTTCAGAGGACGATTTTTGAGAAAACCATGCCACATTTGATGTGAGTGCTTCATATCTAATGTTGGACATCTGAGGAATGGCTATAGGAAATCTGACCGAGACAGAAAATTGGATGCTGTAATTAGGGAAGAAAGGTAACAAAGTAGTTACTGAAGATGTTGCTGAGAAACAAAGATAAATAGAAGCAAGTCATAGGTGCTTTGGAAACAGAGGAAAATAAACATATCTATTACAAGAGAAAAATAACGAGAAAACTTAAATTCACAATATTTGCATTTGGGATCCACGAGGTCCTCTTGGTTCTGAGGCCAGTGGCCCATCATGGACCATCTCTCCTAGGCAGAGAAGTCTTCCCAGGACCCCCATCACATCCTTGTTGCCCAGGCTGTCGATGAAGAGTTCAGTATGGGTGTAACCACAGTGCACATCACTGAAGTAATCGAGCTTCTGCGGTTAGAATGGTTCCAGCAGAACTGAGCTAGACTGCCAGGCTTCTCCCATAGGAAATGGAGATCACAGAGCAGTGAGACCCACAGGTGGAAAATGCTTCATATTTCCCCATGTAGAAGACATTCTTAAGGAGGAGACAATCCGAGAGTATGAAGAGAATCCCAGTGAGACAAAAGCCAGCTAGCATTGTTACTGACACACATAGATGTTACTGATGAGGGTATCAGATTGTTGGAATTAGGACTTGTGGGTTTTGAGATAATCAATGTCACTTAAGGCCAGTGTATATACAGTGCAATACACACAGTGCAGTTAAGACTACACCCAGACTCAAGAGAACCACCTCATCTCCCAATCTCCTTCAAACACAAACATACAGGAATGTACCCAGGTCACTTCTTTTTAAGTAGGCTTCACGCCCAGCCTGGAGGCCAATGCAGGGCTTGAACTCACAACCCTGAGATCGAGACCTGAGCTGAATTCAACAGTTAGACATTTAACGGACTGAGCCACCCAGTGCCCCTATCCAGGTCATGTCTGATCAGGAATTATCATTAAACTTGACTTGCTGTGTACTCCACTGATTTGATTAAGCCAGAAGGGAAGTGACAGTAAGCTGCTGTAGCCTCCAAGGCCACTCATGACATAACTACAGGCTGCTCAAGTGTTACAAGTATCTGAATGTGTTAACTCAAAACTGAAACAAGGTTCTGATGGATTCTGTCTCTATCCAAAAGCCACTTTCAAGAACTGCCAGTGGGGCATCAAGTATAACAGAGTATCAGGACCTGTCCTATTCACAAGTTTTCCCATCTCATACATTTGAAGTGATGTAAACGAACCAGCACGTCACATGCCAGGTGCAGCTGTTTCTGAACACAGGCAAAGGACGTAATTGTTCTTCCAGGCTGTGGTGATTTGGGAACAAAGACAATATTCTCTGTTCCTAGCCTCTCCATGTACTGCCTGAGATTAAAGGTATTTTCTAACCTAGTACTAGGCGTGTTGCTCTCTTTCCAGGGCTATGAGATCAGGGTGTATAACCTCACCGTTTCTAAAGTCTTTTCTGACCCAGAAAGATCAGGTGTGAGAGAGAAACAAGAGCATTTTCAGGAAATGTAGAGACCTATATCCTCCCCCTTCACCAGCATGAGGCACTGTAGATGGACTCTGTGAGCAGTGAACGGACTACATGTTCACCATCTTCACAGTATTAGACATGGTCAGTATACCTAGAGGATCCAGGTGGCTTGTATAACATTAAGTCTAACGGTAGTAGTCCCACATGGGGCCAGGCTGCAAACCAGGTATAGAAACTAGACTGGACTAGATTCATTGCTATTGGGCAGAAAGCCAGAGCATTCCCAAAAATGGTCAGGGCAGAGTGGCACATGTTCAAAACAGATCGATGAAGCCAGCCTGTAAGCTGAGTCCCATATGGCTCTTAAACAACTTCACTATGTTCCTCCAGCACTGTTTGTAGAAGACTCTGCTTTCCCACATTGTTTAACTTCATAAGCATCTAACTAGTGAGTTCTTTCATGTATTGGGACACCTGCAGACCTTTCCACATTCCTCATACTCATACAGTTTCCCTCCAACGTGGCTTCTTTTGTTTTTGAAATGGTCTGGAGTAACAGTCCTTGTCACACTTATTACGCACGTAAGTCTTCAATCTATCGTGCATTTTTAGGCATCAAGTCATGACTACGATGTGAAGCCTCTCTCACATTCCTTACGTTCAAGGGGTTGCTCTCTGGTATCAATTTTTACATGTTGAGATTGGCCTGAGGAAACAGAGAAGGCTTTCCCTCAGTGTTTACATTCATAGGGTTTATCTCCAGTGTGACTTCAAGTGTGCAAGTGGTGAAGGCTTTCCCACAGTCCGTACACTCAAAGGATTGCTCTCTACTTTGAATTGTATGTTTATGAAGGTTGGAAGACCAATTGAAGCCTTTCCCATACTCCTTACTTTAATAGGGTTTCTCTCCAATGTGAATGCTTAAATGTCAAATCAGGACGAGAGCACTAGTGAAAGCCTTCCCACAGTACTTACGTTCATAGGGCTACTCTCGAGAGTGATTTCTCAAATGGCTATTAAAATATAAGAAAGTCCTAAAGGCTTCCCCACATTCACCACATTGATAGGGTTTCTCTCCACCATGAGGTCTCAAACGTTCATTTAGATATGAGGAATTACTGAAGGCTTTCTCACATTCACCACATTCAAAGGGCTTCCCTCCACTGTGAGTTCGTAGATGTTTTTTAAGGACTGAGGGCCAAACGAAAGCTTTCCCACATTCCTTACATTGATAGGGTTTCTCTCCGGTGTGAATTCTCAAATGTACACTAAGTCGTGAGGAATTAGTGAAGGCTTTCCCACACTCCTTACACTTATAGGGCTTCTCTCCGGTGTGAATTCTCAAATGTACACTAAGTCGTGAGGAATTAGTGAAGGCTTTCCCACACTCCTTACACTTATAGGGCTTCTCTCCGGTGTGAATTCTCAGATGTTCATTAAGAATTGAGGAACTACTGAGGGCCTTCCCACATTCCTTACATTTATAGGGCTTCTCACCACTGTGAGTTTGAACATGTTTACGAAGAACTGACAGCCAAGCAAAGTGTTTCCCACATTCCTTACATTTATAGGGCTTCTCTCCGGTGTGAATTCTCAAATGTTCATTAAGAACTGAAGAACGACTGACGGCTTTTCCACATTCCTTACATTTATAGGGCTTCTCGCCACTGTGAGTACGCACATGTTTACGAAGGAGTGAGGGCCACTGGAAGTGTTTCCCACATTCTTTACATCGATAGGGTTTCTCTCCAGTGTGAATTCTCAAATGCACATAAAGGCGTGAGGCTGTAGTGAAGGCTTTCCTACATTCACTACATTCAAAGGGTTTTCTTCCAGTGTGAAGTCGAATGATATGATTATTGAGGCACCTGGAATCTGCATAAGACTTCCCACATTGTTTACATTCATGGGGTTCTTGAGCTGCGTGTGTCTGCACATGCTCATTCTGACCTGCTGAGAAAACTGAAGCTTTTATAAATTGCTTCCATTCATTGAAATCTCTTCCATTGTGAGTTCTCCTATGTGCCTGAAAGTGTGAACGACTAATGAACATTTTCCCACAGTCATTGCATTCAAAAGTCTTCTCTGCCACGCTGGTTCTCTCATACACTGCATGTGGAGTCCGACTGAAGACTTTACCACACTGATTAAACTCAGAAAGTTTCTCTCTAGTAGAGTTTTTCTTTTGCAGATTAAGGAGGCCATTGTGATACTGATTACACTCAAAACTGTTCCCTCTATTTTGAGTTCTCATGTGGGTCTTAAGGTTTAAATATTTACTCAAGACGTTTCCACCTTGCTCACAGTCAGAGAGTTCTGCTCCATGGTAGGTCCTTTCCTGTTGATGGAAGGGATGAAAGTTGATGATAAGATTTTCAGACTGATTACAAATTTCAACCTTATAATGCAAGAAACATGATGATGATGACTCTTAGCATTTTCATTACATAAATACAGTTCCTGTTGATTTCTTTCAAATTAAACCAGGGAACTCTTCTGCCAAAAACTGATGCCATCTACTCTTAAGATCATTCCATTAAAATTTCGCAAAAATGTTTAAAGACTCAATGACAAGTTATATATGTGGGAATGTGTACCTGTGCCATCTAGGGAGCAACAATTTTCAAGATAGATTTGGATTATAAATCCCAAATCATCATATTCAGAGTATCTCTGAATTACTTTGTCTTTGGTGGATGCCATTTGTCTCAAATATCTCAACTTACACTGAATTTTGTAACAGGACCACCAATCTTTTTTGAATGTGGTATATAAGAAATGTCACATATCAATCTTACTTTTTGTATTTCAGTGGCTGTTTTTCCTCCAAAAAAATCCTGGTGAGATGCTGACCCTTTTGTTTGAGGTTGTGTTTCCCATTCTGAAATAAAACAAAAATACAAATTTAAATATTTGCAGGAAGAAATCATAGGCTAAACAATTTTAAATTAAGACTCAGTTTTCTTTATATTCATATTAAAAATGGTGAAATAACAAGAAAGAAAAAACGTTCACCAGTTTGTTTATGGGAAAAATATGACAATAGGTGTGTAGGGACAGACTTCAGTGGCTAGTACTAAAAAATAATTTTCTGAAAATCAAACATGTCAAATAATAAAATATTATCAAGGTAACATATGATCAAGAAGATAACGTGAAAAATACCTGGACAAGGAGGATACACCAAAATTATAAACTATTTTTTTTTTTTTAAGATTGTATTTATTTGACAGAGAGAGACACAGCGAGAGAAGGAACACAAGCAGGGGGAGTGGGGGAGGGAGAAGCAGCCTTCCCGCAGAGCAGGGAGCCTGATGCGGGGCTCGATCCCAGGACCCTGGGATCATGAACTGAGCCGAAGGCAGACGCTTAACGACAGAGCCACCCAGGCGCCCCCAAAATTATAAACTTAAAGAGTTAGAACAGGTCATTTGTGAGACCATAGAAATTTTAAGTAAAAAAGTGAAGGAAGGTGAAGATATCCAAAAACATCAGAGATAAATGGCTTCAACCCTCTGAGACAAATGTATCTTAAAAATTTTACACATTAAAGTTCCAAAGATGCCATCCTACAGGTTGACCAGTTAAGTTGTTAATAACAACACTCACCTTGGAAAACTCCCTTCTCCACTGTCCTCAGCTCTTGTTGTTCTAACCAAGCGATCAGCTTAGGTTTTGACAGTTGATATTCTGTCCACAGGAAAAGGCACATTAACAGGAGAGGCTTATGCAAGAGATGACAAAGCCTCCGATGAATCCAAAACTTTATTTCTAATGAAAGCAGAGAAATTATCCCGAAAGGACCAAAAGAGGCAAATACTTCCCTTCTGTGACAAAAGAGTAGTTATCTCTTAACCCCTGAAAGCCAAATTTGAATGTATGCACATATTTACAGAACATAAAGATATTTATTCAAATCAGAAATAAAGGAGATGAAGAAAGGAGATCTTTGTTCTGATGGGGAAACCACTAGAAGAGTGGTCCTCAAATGTTGGAGTGCATCACAATCATCAGGATGGCTTACTGAAACACAGAAGATGGGGCAACAACCCCAGCTTAATAATTCAGAATGTCAAAAGTGGCATCTAAGACTGTAAATTCCAAACAGAGTGATGGTGTTGCTGTTGGCCTCACAGCCACGTTTACAGAACACCCATTGCAGATTATAACCCATTAGTGCAGGGACTATGCATCTCTTTTTTCCAGTTATGTTCAGAGGGCATCACCAAGGCTGGAAACACATAAAGTACATGACACATATCTGGAATGTTGGCAGCCTTACCTACTGCGACCAGGTTCTGATAGTTCTCCAGCATCACATTTCTATATATGTTTCTCTGAGTGAGGTCCAGTAATAGCCACTCCTCCTGGGTGAAGTCCACTGCCACATCCTCAAAGGTCACTGCAATCTAAACCATCACACCCATGTTGGCCTGAGACAAGAAACATCTCCACCAACGCGCATGGGAGAATAAGGACAGGAGAGTCAATACCTATGCAGGGTTATGAGATTTCTCATTATCCTCCCACGGTTCTATGGTCCTAGGTCCTCTTCTCCCCATCTAAACTCACTCACTGCTCATCTCCACTCATATGGCTTTAATGGCACCTTAAAAGGTGAGTGGCACCTAAAAAATGAGCTTTTGAGCTCATCTCAGCAAAACCGTAGTAGTTCTTATTTCCCTCTATTGCAGTAAACTTCTAAGCACACTAAAGATCCTTGATAAACAGCGCAGAATAACTAAATTCACTGAGGAAAAGATACTTAACACCTTCCTTACCATGTCAGAGCACACAGCAAAGTGGAAATATGCACCTGGTATCCATGAGGTTCATAGGTGATTAGTGAAATACTAAGATTATTTTCAGAGTAATCCTTTTCAATATGAGAGTTTCCACTTCCAGGGAAAATGCAACTGGGGATTCAGTCCTTATGTGGGGTTTATTTACTTTAGGAAGCTCAGGACACAGATGTACCTAGAAGGAATGTATCCACCTGGTGGATATAAATGCGGCATTCTGTTGATTGATATGCTTTTTTATTACCTGTTGATAATTTTTCAGCCAGACAGCCACCATCCTTTCTGCCTCTGTGTTTTCCTCAGGAAGACAAAAAGGATCTCTAGAAGGATCTTGGAGCAAAAAAAAAGGAATACTTAGATTGCAGCATGACCAGAATCACCCACCTGAAAAATCATTCCATCCTAGTTTGAGATTCCCATTATATCCCTGCACACTCAAGAAATCTCACATAAATACACACTCACCTGGAGCTATAAAAGGGACGTGTTAAACATACTGCCCACAAGGAAAGGGGTCATCATCTTATTTTACAGGTATGGAAACCTAATCCCTGGGAAATCCGATTCTTTATTTGCCCAAGATAATAAAACTCATCAATGGGATTATGCAGTACCAAGTCCCAAACCACACACACCAGGAAGCTGACTTAGATAACAGCATTCTCTGGCATATTTCAGCTCTAAGTGAACCAGCAGCCTGACTGCTTAGGCCCTATATTGTGTAGGGGTGACCTTTAAGAATCCTCTGAAAATGAGAATCAACAATGACTTACCGTGGGTCAGATCAATGGCTGCCATCCTGGGAGAGTGATGAAATTTGCCTGATGAGAAATTTGATGCCAAGATCACTTCAGTGCAACTTAAGAATCTAAGTAAATATGGCAATCTTCATTACTTTTGAGTGTTACCCAGAGTACTTTTCATATCAATCATTAATCAGCAAGCATTACTAATCCATTATCAAACATCATAAATTAGCTCTCTCTCTGTAGATGATATATGGGAAATTCACTAAAAATGTTATAACCTTTGGCATGAAAGTCAGTAATAGCTATTACCATTTCCTGACGATAGATACATGACAGATGTCTGTCTCATTAGGAGCTGTATGTATATCAGCTCACCTAATTATCATAACAACCCTTTACATAGGTATCATTAGCCCTATTTAATAGCTGATAAAGCTAGATTTTTACTAATCATTGGTCCAGTACCAACCAATAAAGGAAAAAAGAGATCCACAATTGAATGCAGATAGGCTTCTCTCAAATGTTTGAGATCCTGAAGTTCTTGTTCCCAAATATGATCAGACGTCATTCTAGACCTGCACTGTCCATTTTGGTAGCCAGAAGTCACATACTGAGTAACTGATATGCAGTTAGTAAAACAGGATTTTAGATTTATTTTTAATTAAATTTTAAATTTAAAACTTTTTGCAAATTATTAGAAAACTTAAATATGTTTGTGTAAACTTAAATGTATCTGTTTTCTCAACTCTATTTATTACATGATTCAAACGCATAAAATACATCTAAGGAAAATTTTGTGTCCAATGAATTCTGAATTCATGAGAAGAATTTAAAATACCTCAATTTTTATATGGGTTGCATACTGAAATACTTACATGATTTCCTTGTTTTTTGTTTATTACAGTTACAGAAAAGCTTTAATCATATACTTGACCTACACATTATATTTCCATTGGCCAGCACTGGCCTACAATACTGCTGGATATTATGAAGAGGAGAAAAATGAAGTGTTTAATTTGGTTAACACCCTCGAGCTTCACTTCATGGAGCTCAGAGTGGCTTGGAGCCCTGTGCCTCCTTTTAATTTATCTAACAGGCTTATTCTTTTGTTCTTTCCACAAACAATTAAGAAATTGTGGTCCTGGGGGCGCCTGGGTAGCTCAGTTGGTTAAGCGACTGCCTTCGGCTCAGGTCATGATCCCGGAGTCCTGGGATCGAGTCCCACATCAGGCTCCCGGTTCAGCGGGGACCCTGCTTCTCCCTCTGACCCTCTCCCCTCTCATGCTGTTTCTCTCTCTCTCTCTCTCAAATAAATAAATAAATAAAATCTTTAAAAAAAAAAAAAAGAAAGAAAGAAATTGTGGTCCTGTTCCAGGCACTATGCAGAAAACAGTGATATATACAGAAAATGTCCCAGGGCTTAATGGCCCAACATTCCAAAGGGACAAGACATTCAATTATTAATGAACACCTCTGTTTATCAGTGCTTATGGAGCAAAAAATCAAATAGGTGAGAAAATAAAGAGTATTCCTATATACAAACACAAATATTGTGGTTTGCTTCTTGGGTAATGTAATGACAGAAAAAGGAAAATAACCATAGGCTGTTCTACATAGGACCCAAACTTTTAAGAAAAATAATGCTGGAAGGATTTTACAAAACTCAGAAGACTCTTTTAAGTATTCAACAGCCTCAGGAGGGTCTTGATTGAGGCTCAAAGCAATCAAGGTTTGCCCACTGCCCCTTGCCCTGGCAAAGGAGCAAGGCCAAATCACTGTCCTTTACAATGATCTATTTTAGGAGTCTTTCCACAGAAGGACTTTTCATATTACCACTTTTCATATTACCACTTCTGTTTTTCACCAAGTTTTTATTTTATTTTTATTCATTTCTTAATAAGGCTTCCTTCTTATTTTAATCTTTTAACCTGATACAGTCTAAAGGACAACTCCTATGTTGAAAATTATTGACTCGGGCGCCTAGGTGGCTCACTTGGTTAAGCGACTGCCTTCAGCTCCAGTCATGATCCCAGGGTCCTGGGATGGAGTCCTACATCGGGCTCCCTCTTAGAGGGAAGCCTACTTCTCTCTCTGCCTCTGCCTGCCACTCCCCCTACTTGTGCTCTTTCTGTTAAATAAGGAAATAAAATCTTAAAGAAATAAAATCTTTAAAAAAAAAAAGAAAAGAAAATTATTGACTCTCTTTAATAAATTGAACAGAGAACAGCAGCCCAAATGCTGATCTACAGAATGGTATCCAAATGATGACAAATGCTGGGAGTTCCAGTTTCATTACCATAAGCCAAATTAACCCTCACAATGCAAGATACTTCATTCTACAGATGAAAAGTGCTATGCAATGAAATGCGCAGATCTTAAGTACTCTGAGGATGAGCTTTGACAAATTTACCCATATAATGAGCAGTACAAGGAAGACAGAGAATATATTCATCTCCCCAAAAAGCCTTCACCCTTCTAGTTCATTCCCTCACCCTCATTCCAGACGATCATTATCTGATTTGTCAATTACTAGATATGTTGTTAAGCAGTGCACACATCATTTATAAATCTATATCCTGACAATTTTCTCTTGTTTAGAGAAACAATAAGGGAGAAACATTCTTAAAACTCCCAAGGAAGGGCACCTGGGTGGTTCAGTCGTTAAGCATCTGCCTTCGGCTCAGGTCATGATCCCAGGGTCCTGGGATCGAGCCCCGCATCGGGTTCCCTGCTCCGCGGGAAGCCTGCTTCTCCCTCTCCCACCTCCCCTGCTTGTGTTCCCTCTCTCACTATATCTCTGTCAATAAATAAAGAAAATCTTAAAAAAAAAAAAAAACCTCCCGAGGAAGTGCAGAAATGTCCATTTCTTCTTGTATTTCTGTCAAGCATTGGTTTATATTTTATGCAACAATACTGTGGGAGTACATACAAACTTTGAAATTGTATAATTTTGGAGATAATGAATCTTCTATTGTAAACTGCTCTATCTCTAGTAATGCTTTATATGACAATGTTGTCTGACATAAGGATCCACTTTCTTTCGGAGAGCTCTTTAGAATGTAAGCGTGTGGGAATCTCAGTCTTCTGAGCACTCACCCACCAGCCAGGAATGTCTGCAAACTGAATACTTATTTCCCATGGATACCTGATGTGTCTGCCCACCAGACATGGCTTGGCTGCAATCCAGAGATTTTCAAATGCTTGTCCAATGCTTGCTGACTACCTCTGCCACAGGACACCCAGCCAACTTCTTTACAGTCAGTGGACTGCAATGATACCTTGCAAATAAGATATGACCCAGTCTTGCGGAGAAGACATCCCTATAAATCTGACCTTCCTTATTACTGTTCAACTCTAGGATCTAATAGAGTGCTCTTTACATCTTTATGTTACTCTTCCCATGTATATCAAGAAATCAAGGAGTGATTTTTGTCCTCTGATTAGAACCAGACTTATACAGAATTGAAACAGACAGTGATTGCAGGAGATACACCTGTAAGATGAGATCTGGGGGTTGATTTCATCAAGTCTTTGGTCTGGAGCAAGATGCTGAGCTCCTTGAAAGACATTCAGCCGCATTATGAAAATCAAGCTCTGACCTATGGCTCACTCTGAAGATGTACACAGAAGCACTTGCCTTGGGGAATCCAAGTGAATGCTGTTACCTCAGTAATGATGACTACAAAGACTGTGGTGAGAGATAGATTCTTTTTTTTTTTTTTTAAGATTTTATGTATTTAACAGAGAGAGACACAGCGAGAGAGGGAACACAAGCAGGGGGAGTGGGAGAGGGAGAAGCAGGCTTCCTGCCAAGCAGGGAGGCCGATGTGGGGCTTGATCCCAGGACCCTGGGATCATGACCTGAGCCGAAAGCAGATGCTTAACGACTGAGCCACCCAGGCGCCCCGAGACATAGATTCTTATGACTAGAGTTGCACAGAAAATGGCCTGCTCAGATTTACTAAGACAAGCTCAAACCAAGGTCTGATAACCACAAAGCCTCAAGACAGCTCTTAAAAAGGACATTTCTTGTGGCCACAGGACTGACACTGTTGAAAATCAAACACGAAATTTAATTGCACAGGTAAAATTACAACCACAATTAGAGTGTCTACATCAACTAGTTGTTCATGTGAAAATTACAGCACTGATACGGGAAGAATGAGAACTTGAAAACGAATGGGGATACTGAGTCAGACAAAGATGAAATGTACAATCTTGAATCCACAAGATACTAACTCTCCCTTATCAGAAGTCTCCTGCCCTTTGGTTTCTGAAATGAGCCTTCCTCTGCTTAAAAATACTGAGGAAATCTCACCTGGGGCAGAAGCCTTAGAAGGAAATGCTCCTTCTCTTCAAGATCCACCCAAACCACCTGCTACTGCCCCTAGTGACAATGAATTCACAGTCATGGGGAACAGGGATACAACACAGTGCAAGATAAAACAGCCTGTACAACAAAATAGTTCCAACTAGATAATATATAGAAGAAACCTGAGTACCCTGTGGGGGAATAAACTGTAAGCATGCCAGACCCATAAGGTTGGAATATAACAATAAACTGGGCCAAATTCATTGACATGGGGGCACTTATTAGACAGTCTGGGTTTAATATATACTATCTCATGGACCCAGGGAAAGCTCTAACAGCTTACTTGCTTGGCTGATCCCAGAGACTCAATGGTGACCTACAGTAATGAGTTCACATGCCAGAATTTCCACAACAAAATGTGAAGGAGCAAATCCTAGGGAGATAGCAGTGTAGCACTGGATTTATCCTGTGTGATATACAGCCCCGTTCCCCATTCTACGTTGAGGGAACAGAAGATTCTCCACAAAGGTACGGAGAAACCGGTAAGTGGACAGCCTCCATCCTAGAAGCCTCTGTGGTTATTCTCCATGACAGGTGAGGTATGACTGTAGGGGCTATACCATCATTGAGATGAACTCCCTGATTTCATTGGGGATGATGAGAAGCCAGAGTAGCAGAAATCAAGGAGGCGGCACTTAATTGCCAAAGACAAAGTGGGCACACGAACCACCAAGAGC